CCCCCCCCCCCCCCCCCCCCCGCCCGTGACTGTTTTAATGGAAAGGCCAGCTTAGCTAGTTCAAAAGTAGTGGGACTTGGGAGGAAGTTACCTACATTTCTCACTGCAGCCCGCCCCTGCCTCACCCACCCTCTGACTGGTCCTGCACATTTTTCTAGAGTGCCAGGCTTCCTCCAGTTCCAACGCCTCCCTGTCCCCTGCTGCCTTTCCGGAGCTGCCCTGCACACCAGCCCGACCCTGGGGACCCTCACTTGACCAATGGGACCTCGTCTTTGTATCCAGTATCCCAGCACTGAGCTCAGTGCTTTGGGCAGATAGAGGCCTGAATACACAGTGGTTAAAACTCAGTGTTTTAAACCGTGTAGTGCACCGACCTTTCTGCCAAAAAAAAAGTTTCTGTGGTCAGGTAAGTTTGGGAAACGCTGCACTAGAGTCCCCCTTTTATAGATTCACAATACGCATCAGCACATCAGGGTTCCCAGAAGTCTCGCAGTGAAGGACATAGTTAACCCAGTGTTTCCCTCCAAGCACTGAGTTGAGCACAGAAGCCATTCCCCAGCTGATGGCCTAGGAGCCTTCCTAAGGCAGCCTTTGTGTAAAACGTCAGCGCCTGTCCTCACCATGGAGCCCTTTCCCTCCATTGTCATTTGGGTTCCATGGTTACTGCTTCCTCCTGACCACGCCTGGGGCCAAAGGGCCCAGAAAGTCATGGACACTGGGCGTCCTGTGGGGTGGCCACCCGAGGCTCTCCTCGTGGCCTGCCTTCCCCCAGTCACTGCTGAGTGAAGTACAGATTCAATTTGGGGTGCCAGAAGTGGGAGTGGGATTTTTTATTTAAGCTCTCTGGTTTAAAAAGGCAGGGCCTCTCCTTGAAGAGAGGAGAGGGGTAGAAGAATAGCAAGAAGTGTTGTCAAGGGACCAGAAATCTCTGGCTGATCTGTCACTGCAGTCTTGCCACAGCCCCAGGGGACGGGCTGTATCTGTAGACTTGGGAACTGCTGTGTTTTTGCCATTAGAATTCTGATCTTAATGAATTGTCAGTGCCCGGGAGGAAATGGGAGGACAGGGAGGTGGCCCCGCCAGAAACTAGCCTGGGTCAGGATGCTAGGTTACCCAGGGTTCAGGATCTGGCACCCTCAGCAACAAGACCTTTATGTGAAACTACTGCCTCAGCTTCCCTATCCAGAGATGCTGTTTTCAGGGAATCCTGAGACTGATGAGAATAAGCTCTTTGGTTCATTTTATCTTCAGTGCTAATACAGTGCAGGCATTTGGTAGATGTCAGCAAATATACAACAAACGAATGGTTATAAGCACCCCTCCCCTTTCAACCTAGTGTCCAGCACCAAGCCTTTCTAGCACGTAGTAGGTGCTTTAAGTAACTGCTGAATGAGCAAGTGGATGATTTAGTGTATTCCTCCCTAAACTGTTGTTTCTCATGGCACTTTGGCACTTTAATAATTGTTCAATAAAAACCAAAATGGTTGTGTTTTTTTTTTTTTTTTTTTTTTT